TACTTTAAAATTAAGGTATGACAGGGGCTCTGGGCTGGTTCAGTTAGTAGAGCATGCAACTCCTTACATCTCCACCCCGTGGTGAATTCGAGCTCCATGTTGGGTGTAGCTCTTACTTAAAATTTTTTAATAAAACTAAAGTATAACATTTATACAGTAAAATGACAAATGTATGAAACAAACTTGATTTTTTAACTTTTTAAAAATTTATTTTGTTTATTTATTTTGAGAGAGAGAGAGCATGTGAGCAGGGCAGGGGCAGAGAGAGGGAGAGAGAGAATCCCAAGGAAGCTCTATGAGTCAGTACAGAGCCCAGCGCCAGGCACAAACTCAAACTGTGAGATCGTGACCTGAGGCGAGACCAAGTGCCGGCTGCTCAACCCACTGAGCCACTCAGGCACCTCGTACATAGTCATTCTTAAGACCACCACTCAAATCAAAATACGGTATATTTCCAACACCTTCAAAAGTTATCTTATGGGGGCACCTGGGTGGCTTAGTCAATTAAGCATTCCACTTCTAATTTCAGCTCAGGTCATGATTGTATGGTCATGAAAGAGCCCCATGTGGGGCTCTGGGCTGGGCATGGAACCTGCCTGGGATTCTTTCTCTCTCTCCCTCTGCCCCTCTCCCAAATGTGTTCTCTCTCTCTCTCTCTCTCTCTCTCTCTCTCTCTCTCTCTCTCTCTCTCTCTCTCTCTCTCTCTCTCTCTCTCTGTCTCTCTCACTATCGTTTTTGCTCTCTCTCTCTTAAAAAAAAAAAGTATCTTATGTTCCTTCCCAGTCAATAACCCCTCTCCCAAAGTTAACCACTGTTCCAACTTCTTCTTTTTTTTAAATGTTTTATTTATTTATCTTGAAAGAGAGAGGGAGGGAGGGGCAGAGAGAGAGAGTGAGAGAGGGAATCCCAAGCAGGCTCTGCACTGTCAGCATAGACAGACATGGGGCACGATCCCACAAATCGTGACAGTGTGACCCAAGCTGAAACCAAGAGTCGGACGCTTAACCAACTGAGCCACCGGGATGCCCTATTCTGACTTCTGTTGCCCACTCTTGAACTTCATGTGAATGGAGTTATACATTATTTTCTGGTTTGTGCCCGGCTTCTTTAGCTCAATGTTGTGTCTATCTTTTATTCTTTTTTTTAATGCTGTCTAGTGCTTGTATGAATAAGCTACAATTCATCTATCCATTCACCTGTTGATAGACTTTGGGGTTGTTTCCAGTTTGGGGCTATTATTACAATGCTTCCGTGAATATTGCACACATATTTTAGTGGACACACGTTGTGCTGGTTTTTGCTTTTGATATTATAGCTAACATATTATGGAATATTAAGAAAGTGCATGGGAAAAGGAATGGGTTCTTACAAGAGTTATCTGCTTCCTTGATGGGATTTTTATTAGGTGTTACAAAAGGTTACGTACTGTATGATTCCATTTAAATAATATTCTCAAAGTGACAAAATTATAGAGACAAAGAGATAAATGGTTACCCAGGGTAGAGTTGGTGTGTGTGTGGGGGGGGGCGGGGTGCATATAAAGGGGTAGCAAGGGAGAGCTTTGTGTTGATGGAATGGCTATGCATCCTGACTGTGGAGGTGTTTATACAAATCTAAGCATATAAGATGTCATAAAACTATACAAACCATTGTTCCCGTGTCCATTTCCTGGCTTTGATATTGCAGATGGTTATGTAAGATTTAACCTTGAGTACTCCCTCCATGTTATTGGGGCACCTGGGTAGCTCTGTTGGTTAAGCATCCGACTCTCGATTTCAGCTCAAATCATGATCTCATGTTTTGTGAGTTCAAGCCCCACATCAGGCTCTATGTTGACATTGTGGAGCCTGCTTGGGATTTTGTGTCTCCCTCTCTCTCTGCCGCCCCCTCCCCAAAGCATGCTCCCCTCTCAAAATAAATAAACGTAAACAAATAGTTTACACAGCCCTAACCTTCCAGAATCCAGATACACCATCTTTGGAATCCAGACACATCATCTACAGTTGCTGACCCCTGTCAGCACCACGCTGAACCTCTGGCCTCTTGCTCTACCGTGTTCCACCCCTTCCAAGCCCCGCAGCCTCCCAGAAGGGACTTGTGTATTCGTGACTCACCGTGGAACAGTATTGTCCTCTTGGTTGAGACCTCAACCCCAAAGGAAGGGATGCTGGCTTGTCACCCGGAATCTTACATGGGCCCTGACCACTCATGAGACGTGTACAGAATACAAAGACAGCCCAGGTGGACTCCTTTGAGATGAGCAGGAGACGAGAGAGTTAGACCGTCCATGGCTTGAACAGAATGGCCGTTCTGTGAGCTTGGAGACAAAGCGGGCACAGCCTTGATCGCTGTTATCCTCTGTCACCATTCCTCATCACTTCCCCTCAACTTCAGCGCTGACCATCCTGTCCAAGCCACCACCATCTTGCACCTGGGTTACTGCAGTAATGTCCTGACTGCTTTCCCCATCTCCGCTCATGCCCCCCGCCGCCCCCCCCCCGACTCCGTCTATTCTCAAAACAGCAACCAGAGTCATCTTGTCAACAACTAAAGTTAGATCATGTCCTTCGCCACCTGAAAGGGTCCACTGGCTCCCAATCACAGAGCAGAAGCCAACATCCTTACAGTGGCCTCTAAGCCCCACGGGATTGCCCCCTCCCCCTCCCATGACCTTATATTAACCTATTTATTTATTCAATATATGTTTATTGAGCACCTCATACGAACCAGGCAGTTTGCTAGACCCTGGGCACACAGTCATGGGAGATGGGAGATGAGCATGGGAGATAAAGTCCCTGCCTTCATGGAGCCTACAGTCCAATGAGAGTCAGATAATAAGGAAATAAATAACCCAGTTTTGGATATCAATAAATATTATGAAGAAAATAAAACAGGCTGAAGTGATGGAGAGGAAGTGAAGCCATGGAGGGTCTCCAAGGGAACAGAATTTGAGGTGAGAGCAGCCTGAGAAGGATGAACAGTCTCGCAAAGGGCAGAAGCCAAAAGGTGACAGCCGTGAGTGTGGAAAGGAATGAACCTATTTGAGGGACAGAAAAGAGGCCAGAGTGGAAGGGGCTGGGGGAGGCGGTGGCGGGGATCCCAGGCTTCAACAGCGACAGGGGCGTGCCCTACACACATTCTCCCACAGTATACCTCTCTTACATCACAGGACACGTTAGAGAAGGCACGATCTGTTCTTCTGAGCAAAAATCCCAACTCAGTACAAAAATGTGTTCAGAGCCTCCTATGTACCCGTCCCTTCAGCTTAAAACAGAATTCAGTCCTGTATTTTCTAGACTCTAAGCCCAGCGATCCATCAGCTTGGGCCATCCCTCCTCACCTGTTCGCCCCTCCCCCCCACCCCCACATCCCTCTGTGCAGTGTGAGCCCCTGAGACACCCCCACTGTGGGCAGCTGTCCCATTAGGCCCCTTGCAGCCCACCCCTCAGCAGCTGTTTCCGTCTGTAGAAGAGTAAAAGACTATTTAAAGGAACATGGGGTAGGGGTGGGGGGGCAGAGGGAACAGGGGAGTCCCAGCCTGGGCTGTGGACGGGCCAGCGAGGCCAGAGGGCTGGTGACCATATTCCACATGGGCCTGCGGATGGTCTGCGGGGTGACCAGGGCCAGGCAAGTACAGTGGGAAGAAAGGTGGCCACAGGATGGATGCCCCCGGGGTCAGGGCAGGAAAGACGCGCTGTGATTGAAAGGTGCCACCTGTCAAATCTTCACGGGAAATCTGAGCCTCCTAGGCCAAGGGAAAGTGTTGTACCAACAGGGCAGTAAACAATGCTCTCCTTGGACCCAAGGCTCTTGAGGTGGGGGTGGGGTGCGAGGGGGGAGGAGGAGGGGGAGGCGGGCAGACCCAGGAGCTGGGGGCTGGAGGCCACTGGCTGGGACTAAAGGCAGCCGGGGAGTGAGGCCGCTCAGCTGGAGGAAGGAGACAGCTCCAAGCCCCCAGACAGAGGCCACACAGGTAGGAGAAGCCCCAGCCGTTTCTAAGTGGCCCCTCCAGCTGCCCAGCCCCTCTCCCACCTTCCAAGGCCTGGAGCCTCTACGCAGAGCCCCAGAGTCGGAGAAATCCAGGCTCTTCGCTAACCCTCTCCACCTCTTTGTCGGCTCTCTTTAGATGCCAGAGGTCAGGGACCCAGCCCTAAGGTGTTGGGCAACTAGAGATCAGCCCACAGGTGGCCATTCACAGGGAGGACCGGACAGGGGCAGAGAGGGTCTTGGGAGTCCAGGCCAGCTGGGGTGGGAGGCAGACTCTCTAAGCAGTTGAGACTGGTTTCTCCAAGGGAGGGTCACTGGCTGGCGTGGGGGATGGTGGCAGCCTCAGGACCACCAGAAGACAGGGTGGGAGGCAGGGGTTCGGGGTCTCATGAACAGAACCATAAAGCGTCGTCTACAGCATTTGGAGCTTGGGACTCCAAGCTCCTGGGTTCTTTTTCTCCCAGTCAGCCGAGAGAAACCCAGAGAGGGAAAGGGATACAAAATGTAGGCTTCCTGGGGAGGAAGGAGGAAGGGAAGAGGAGAGGGAGGAAGGGAGGGAGGACGGCACCCGCCATGCATGGTAGAGAGAGAGCTGCACTCGTCAGCCACAGCCAACCGCCCTCGCCTGCCAGCGGGGTGGCCCTCACTCTGGGCCCCTGGCTGGGGAGCTGGTGGGAGCCGCATCCCTGTGGGCGGAAGCGCCAGGCTGGTTGTCAGGAGACCTGGATTCTAGATATGGCTGAACCATTCAATTGTCCTGTGACTTTACTCAAGGGACTCCAACTCCGCGAGCCTCAAGTGCCCAATCTGTAAAATGGGGCCAGTAACGCCTACTTCCAAAGGGCGAGAGCGAGGAATGAGTGAGGTGGAACAGGGCACCACACCGTAAGCTGTCAACCTCCTGTAGAATCGTTAGTGTTGGGGTGGGATGGTGCTATCCTGGCTTCTCACCTCCTGAGTCTCTTCACTCCTTATCTATTTATGATGAGCCTGCGGGGCGGAAAGCTGAGGTGATGAACACGCAGGACGGTGGAGGTGTGTGTGTGTGTGTGTGTGTGCACCTGCCCGTCCTTCCCCACCCCAGCCTCCCCCACAGTGTGAGGCATGTAGACAAAGGGAAAGATGGCTGCAGCCCTCCTCTATGTCTCTGCCAAGCACCACCGCGCTTTGAGGTGTAAAAGGGGCTTGTGGACATCTTACTGGCCTTCCGTTCTCTCTGCCTTGTCTCACCAACTAAATGCCCTCGTGGCTGGGTCAGGACATTACGAGCTGATGTGGGCCGAGCGCTCCCTTCTGGGCACCTACCCGGCTGGCTCAGTCGGTAGAGCACGTGACCCTTGATCTCAGGGTTGTGAGCTCAAGGCCCACCTTGGGCGTGGAGCCTACTTAAAAAAAAAGAAAAGAAAATCGGATGCATAACGGACTGAGTCACCCAGGCACGCCAAAGTTAAGATTTCCCTTACTATGGAGTATCTAGAATCCACTTATGCGCTAAAGAAGTTGTGTATCTCTAAAAGGGTAAAAAGTAGGCCGTTTCTGGAATAACCTCAGCCAGAGACTACATCCCCCCAATCCCAGCCCCTATTAATGTCTCAGGAGGCCCTCGTTTTCCGCCGAACAGTTTGGAAAACCTGATCTAGATGAATCCTATGTTTGTCAGTGAAAACTGAGCACTTGAGAAGGAAAGGATCTGTTCAGGTCTCAGAGGGAGTGACCAGGAGATGGGGGGGTCAAGCCAGCTCTCGGCCTCCTGGCTCCCTGCTGATGTGCATTCCATCCTGCTGGTTAGTTTCCAGTTAATCCATTGCTGGAGCCGCTCAACCATGAAGGGGCTCTAGCGGGAGGGGTGCGAGCATCTTTGCAAATTCTAGCCGGCTTCCTCAGAAGCGGTGGGGGCACCAAATCCAGGGACCCCAGGGATCCGGACTGGAGGCAGTAAGACCCGAGTGGGTGGCAGGAACAGAGCCTTGTCACCAGTCCGCCTGTCTTCCTGCCCCTGTCCCAACTGCCCGGGTGCCCTGGGTACCGTGTCCCAGAATGGTGGCATCGCAGAGGGCAGGAGGTATTTTTAGCCAGTGACAGGAGTGCCTACTTCTCTTACCGTCTGAGTCATGCCCTAAACACTATTTGAGGATTGTTTTCTTTGTAAACAGACACCCAAGAAGGGCAGGGGGATGAAGGAGGCGGCCCTGTCCCCCCCACCCACCTGTTTTTGTACATCCTACAGTAGGTACAGTACTTGGATAGGGAACCTCACGTTGAGGTATCATAATGTCCCTCTCCCCCGACTCGTCCCTGGCAGTCGGAGGCTCAGATGTCTCTGGCAGAGGTTAGGGAGAGTACGTTTCTATTCTTCACCAAAACAAACTCTTCCGTGTCCAGGCCCGGCTTTTCTGAGAACCACAGGTGGACCGTGCCAAAGCTGGGGCAGCTGGGAGAGACCCAGACACCAGCTGGCCCAGGTTTTCCCAGATTTCGGGCATTTTTACACCACCCCCAGAATTAAGCCACATCTGTACCACCTGTATCCTTTCCTGAATGCCTTCCTTTGCATTAACTTATTTTTAAATTCAATAAATGTATTTTCAAAAGAAACCTTATCTCCCTAGTGGAAATGGACACTCAATATCACCGGCCAGGAAGAGAAAGGAACTGTAAACATAAGTACAGTGGAAACAGAACAGCCCTATCACATTCTAGCTATATACTCCCGCCTGCTTTGGGCTCCATTAAAACGGGAGAGTAGCCGCTGTCCCACAGGCGTTCCCCGACGCCGGCACCACATTGTACACATTGTAACCATCTCGTTGGCTTCTTCAGAAAGAGGCAAACTCATTGAAGAGGCATCATAGGATCTAATGTTCTCTAGAGCCCAAGCCACAGCCCGCAGAGGGCTGTTAAGGGGGCGCCATCCAATGTCAAGTCACCGTGGCCCTGTACCCCTTTGGGGTGCAGCGCTGTACCCCTTCACTTTATCACAGTGAGAAAACTTCATGTCTTGCTCAAGTCACAAGCCCAGGCATGGGGGACCCGGGACTGAACAGCAGGCCTCCAGACTCTGGGGCCAGCGCTTTCTGCGCGTGGGGCCTTCACCTCACACGGCAATGGGGCACGACCAGGTCTGCTTGTCTCCACTTTCCAGAGATGGAGCAGAAGGAAGGGGAGCCCTCCAAGGACGGGACCACTGTCTCCCCAGCCGCAGAGGCCCCGGTGACGCAGGGAGGTGGAGCCTCTGCAGAAAAGGAGGCCAAAGCCACAGAGAAGAAGATCCTCAAAGAGGGGCCTCCGGAAAGAGCACTGGCCGAGGCCAGCACGTCAGCTGAATTTCAAGGGGAAGCAAACGGGTGGGATGAGGTCAAGGTGGAAGCCAAAGGGGAGGCAGAACTTCACAAGGAGGGCGACGGGAAGGAAGAGATCACGGCGGCTCCTCAGGAGACCGCTGATGGGAAGGAAGAGACCCAGCTTGACCCCAAGGAGGCCAAGGAAGGGCAGGAGACCACGCCGGCCTCCAGGAAGCAGCAGGCTGACGAGAAGCAGGCCGAGCCTGAATCTAGGGAGGAAGCCCACGTGAGTGAGGAGGCCAAGGCTGAGCCCAAGCAGGCCACTGGGGAGCGGGAGGCCGAGACTGGGGCCGAGGAGGCTGATGGGAAGGAGGGGGCCACAGTGGCCTCTCAGGAGGAGAGCGACAAGCCGGAGGGGCCTGCAGCGGAAGCTCAAGGGAAAGCGGATGCCCCAGAGGCCGGGTCGGACTCGGAGACGAAGGCTGCCGTGGAAGAGGAGGAGGCCGAGGCTGAGCCTCAGGAGGCTGACGTGAAGGAGGCGGTGAGTCAGGCAAAGGAGGGGAGGCAGGAGGCCCCCACAGTGTTCTGGAGTCCCTGGCAGCCCAGGAAGCAAGCCCCCGCCCTGCCCCGCGTTGTTCCTTTGAGAAAGTCCAGTCTTCCCACTGACATCGAGAGCCTGGGGTGGGGCCCGTGGCCCCAGGCTGCCTTCTAGATCTTTCTGCAGTCCTCACGAAGCCTTGGGCAGGCGCTTGTGTGCCCATGAGCCCGCACAGATCGTGTTCGTTCCAGGAGTCAGGTGGTCCCCAGGAAGAGCAGGACCAGGGTGTGGAGAGAGAGTCGGAGGAAGGAGCAGGAGTGATTCCCAGCTCCCCCGAGGAGTGGCTCGAGAGCCCCACGGAGGAGGGCAGTGGTCTCAGCCCAGGTGAGTGAGTCCAGGGAGCTCCCCTGAGGGGGGTGCAGACAACACGACAGGGGAGCTCCAGCTTCTCTCCCCACCTTTCCCTCCCTCCAGCTTCTCACCCTCCCATTCCCTCCCTCCAGGTGGGTTGGGTCCAGACACCGCAGCAGCTTCAGGAGAGACCAGTCCTTCGGCCAGGTAATGTCAAGGTCTGGGGCCCGAGCTCCAACTCCCTCTACCACATGCTCCTTTCAAAGTCTACCCCCGAGCCTGGGTCTCCCTGGTGCCTGAACTTGAGATGCTCCAGGATTCCTGGCTTTCGGTCCCCTGTCCCAGGGCAGAGCCCACGAAACCAAAGGAGCCCGAGAATGGGAGCAAAGGAGGGGGGAGCGTGCCTCATCCACTCGCTCCCACTCCCCTGCTAAAGCCTCCTTGTCCTCGGCGTCCTTGACAGATCTTCACGGGGCTCCTCGTCGTGTGGCTCGGCTCATTCCCTAACGTCAGCACGACCCACAGAGCACGAGCAGAAAGCCTGAGTTCAGACCATGACTCTGCCACTTACCAACTGTGTGACCTTGGTTTTGTCACTTTTCTCCTCCTCTGCCAAGTGGGCACCGTGACCGTGCCTACCTCGGAGGATTACTGTGGGGCTTAAGTGACATAAAATGTACAGAGCACTTGGGGCGCCCAGCTGGCTCGGTCGGTAGAGCATACAACTCTTGATCTCGGGGTCATGAGCTCGAGCCCCACGCTGGGCTGAGAGATTACTTGAAAAGAAAATGTATAGGGGCGCCTGGGTGGCTCAGTTGGTGGGGCACAGACTTGTGGTTTAGGCTCAGGTCATGGTCTCGCAGTTTCGTGAATTCGAGCCCCGCGTCAGGCTCTGCGCTCCCCCTCTGGCCCTGTCTCCATCTCTCTCAAAATAAATAAATAAACTTCAAAAAATAAAAATAAAACGTATAAAGCCCTTAGCACAGTGCCTGGCACACAGCAGGTGCTGGATAAAGTGAGAGCTTTCTTGCCATCGCGTAACTTAACCCATTAGAAGAAGCTTCCTTTATTTTGACCTGAAATTCACCTCCGCGTCGCTTTTGTAGGGAAAGGTAATGGGTCAGTGTTCTCTGAGCACTCGGACAGTTACGCGACAGGCAGAGCTGGGTGTTCTCCACTCCCCCTCGCTCTCAAGCCTTAGAGCCCCCTTGGTAGGTAGTTCTTCTCGTCCCCAGTTTACAGACCAGGATGCTGAGACTCAGAGAAGTGACAGGATAGTCCCAAGATCAAATAAGAGGCAAAGCCAGGATTCAAACTCCCATCAGACGTCACACTTATCTTAGTTCCGCCCACACATCTCACCAGACCACATGCTCCCAAAGTTACACCGAACTTCATCATCCCGTCTTGACCCGCCTCCCAGTGCTGGGCACAGAGAAAATGTGTTCAGGGAGTGGGGACCTCAGCTTCCTAGGCCTCTTGCGGCTGCAGGGAGCTCCCACCCTGGCCAGCCCCCTGCCCCCCCCCCCCCCCCCCCCGCCCTGTACCCTATAGTGGCGGCTCCCAGCCCCTCTCACACTTCTCTGAACCTTCCCCACAGTGAGTCTTCACCCAGCGATGCGCCCCAGACTCCCACGGAGCCCCCTCCCTCACAGGAGAAGAAGAAAGAGAAGGCACCGGAGCGCAGGGTGTCGGCCCCTGCCCGGCCCCGGGGGCCCCGCGCACAGAACCGCAAAGCCATCGTGGACAAGTTCGGAGGGTAGGGTGCGGGCTGCGCTGGGCTTTCCCCGGGGAACCGCGGAGGGGAGGCCCGGCCGAGGTGGGGGCACTGATGTCTGGGTCCGGGGCTCCTCCCTGATGGGACCTCCTGTGGGATCTCACGTCTTTGGCCTGGCCTTCTCCATCCCACCCCTTCCCTGCAGGGCAGCCTCAGGCCCCACGGCCCTGTTTCGAAACACGAAGGCAGCAGGGGCAGCCATTGGCAGTGTCAAGAACATGCTCTTGGAGTGGTGCCGGGCCATGACCAGAAACTACGAGGTGGGCACGGAGCAGGGGCGATGTGGGGCAGGGGGCCCTCCCGGGGCCGCAGGTCTGAGCGGGGCCGAGCCCCAAGGCAACGTCCAGGCTCACCGAGGTCTGCTCTGGGCTCCCTCCCCTGCAGCACGTGGACATCCAGAACTTCTCCTCCAGCTGGAGCAGTGGCATGGCCTTCTGCGCCCTCATCCACAAGTTCTTCCCCGATGCCTTCGACTACACTGCCCTGGAGCCCTCACAGCGCCGACACAACCTCACCCTGGCCTTCTCTACCGCTGAGTAAGCCGCGGCCACACCATTCACCCGGGTTGGGGAGTGGGGTGGTCAGAGGGAGGCCGTGGCCACATGCTCGTGAACCCAGCAGACACTTTGTGATGGCCGGGAACTGTTTCAGGGCGTAGCAGTAGATGAACTCGGCAAAATCCCTGTTTGCCAGGGCCTACATCCTAAAGGGAGGGACGGATCATAAACACACACCCCGTATGAAATGTAATGCTGGGGGCGGGGGTAGGTGCCCGAAAGAAAATGCAGGCAGGGTAAGAAAGAGAGGAGAAGCCGGCCTGCTGTTTTCGACAGGCTGGTGGCTGAGATTTGGGGCCACGGTCTGACTCTGCCATTTGTTAGCTGTGTGACCTTGGACAGGCTCCTGTACCTCTCTGAGCCTTCACATTCTGATCTTTAAAATGGGCACGGCATTTCCTCCGTTGCAGGATTACGGTGAGAACTGGGTAAATAAGTAAAGTATAACCGTGCCTCACCCACGGCAAACCCTGTGAAAAAAAATCTTAGCTGTCGTTCCTCTATTGTGATGAATGACATCACACTTTTTATGATGATTATGATTCGGAGCCACCTGGTGGCAATAGACTCTGCAGAGGATGTCGCCAGTGAGGGCAACTCTGAGGCCCCGGAGTAGACACGAGGGCACCCCCAAAGCCCTGGGACAGGAAATAGGTCACAAGGGACATTAGCAAACACCTTGGTCTGGAACGCTGAGCCCTCTCATCGAGTCCAGACCTGGCCACCAACCTGCCGGGAAGCCCTAAGGCCGCAACGTTCCCAACTCTGGGCCTGTGTGTCCCCTGTGGGCAAAACGGGAAGAGTGAGGCCGAACCATACTTTTTTTTCTTTCTTTCTTTCTTTCTTTCTTTCTTTCTTTCTTTCTTTCTTTCTTTCTTTCTTTCTTTCTTTCTCTCTTTCTCTCTTTCTTTCTTTCAATATATTTTTTAAGTTTATTTATTTTTATTTATTTTTAATTTTTTTTTTACATTTATTTATTTTTGAGACAGAGACAGAGAGTGAACAGGGGAGGGTCAGAGAGAGGGAGACACAGAATTAGAACAGGCCTCAGGCTCGAGGGCAGCACAGAGCCCCGACACGCCCGAACTCGACCCAACCAGAAGCGTGGACTGTTCTGAGCAGTCGGACGCTTAACCGACTGAGCCACCCAGGCGCCCCTATTTATTTTGAGAGAGAGAGAAAGAACGCAAGCAGGGGAGGGACAGAGAGAGGGGGAGAGAGAGAATCCCAAGCAGGCTCTGCGCTGTCAGCACAGAGCCCTACGTGGGGCTCTATCTCATGAGCTGTGAGTTCATGGCCAGAGCCGAGATCAAGAGTTGGACACTTAAACAACTGAGCCATCCGGGCGCCCCTGACCTGTGCTTTTCAAATGGGGTCTTTCTTTTCCAGCAGGTTCCTCACACAAAATATTAAGTGAATGCCCAACATATAAAACGGATTAAATGGGGACTTTTTACTTTTTTTAAACTTTCCTTTAACTAAATAACACTTTCCTTATGAAATTTAGATATTGCTTCAAACACAATCTCATTCATAGAGCTTGACGTTCATGGCTGTAACACGTATGTAATCAAATGGGCACAGAAGGCCCAAAACATGTCCTAACCCAAACGATAGTTGTCCACAGCCTGGATGACATTGGACCACGTGACCCGTTAACATGAATCATTAGAACCCTCTGGCTTCTTGGTTATTTGAGCTCGTCCCTCTTCTCCTCAGCCACCTGCTCATGGTTATGAGTTTCTGCCAATAACTATACCACGTGCAAAATCTTGGTCTCAGACATTCCGCTCTCTACCTGTCCCCACCCCTCGCCCTTCTAACTCACTTGGTTTAACACCATCACTGCAAGACATTTTTTGCCCCGTGGGGACTTCTAATCCATTAACCTCACCATTTTCCACTCTCTATCAGCTTGCTTATGTCTTCGATTTCATGGTCTATCAATGTCGTCACTCAAGGGGGGACCTTTCTAGGTCGGGAGGGGCTCCTGGAGCACACCAGCTCAGCACCCAACACCCTTCCCAGGATGCTCCCTGAGGCATATGTATGGGGCCCTCAGGCACCAAGGATGCAATTGGAAAACCATCAGCCTTGATATTCCAGAAGATCCCTTTCAGGTTCATGTTTTCCTGCCAAGGGATGGAGTGAGTGCCCTGGGGTGGGAAGCCGAGGAGGTCAGGAGCACCCCGTCCTGCTCTGGGCTCAGAAGCACCTGTCATGATGATGAGAAGCCCCATGACTTGAGGGTGGTTAGGTGCTGGGTGTCATGCCGAGCGCTTTCCTTGGGTCCCCTCTCATTCTATCCTGTCAGCAGTCTTACAGCGTGGATAGCAGTAGTGGGGTCACTCGACAACCTAGTTCATACAGGAGGGCAGTGGCAGGGCCGTGACATGGGAGTGAACCCCCCCCAGTCGAGACTGAGAGCTCTGAGTGAACATCAGGAACCATGTGTCCCCGGCCTGCAGGACACAGGTCATTGTGCTCCTCCTGCTGCTGCCTGGCCATGGTTCCAAGCCAGAGCTGCAGGCAGGCAAACTGAACCATCAGGTGATGATGCCGAGCTGCCAAGAAGCATCGGGCAGGAGCAAAAAGGGAAGGATGTTGGTGGGGATGCGCGGGGCTGGAGGATGCAGAGGTCGACCTGCCGAGCTCGAATCCTGCCCCCTCCTTCTCAGCGCTGTGACTCTTGGCGGCTGACTTCGCTTTTCTTTGGGTTTGGTGTGATGAGGCGTGCAAAGTAAGGGGGCCCCTGCCACAGCCATCGCCTCCCACTGCCCCGTTCGAGAACTCTCCTGATCACCATGGAATCCTGGGATGAGGGGGAACAGCAGTGCCCCGGCCCCCAGAGGGCTCCATCAGCTGTGCTGCCCGAGGAGCCCGGCCCCACCCCCAGGCCCTGCGGGAATGAAGCTTCTCCCGCGTAGGGGACCAGCACCTTGACCCACACCCCAGAGCTGACACGACCGCATTGGGCGTCAGGGAGCACAGCCCATTCCAGGAAATCTTCCAGTCTGTGCCTCCCTCCTGACTCTCAGGCCAGTCCAGCTTGGGTTTCAGCCCAGCCGCCGTGAGCCCCGAGAGAGGATTTCTGCCGAGCCCCCAGATTCGCCTACAGTCGGCACCCATGGCAGGTTGGCAGGCTGGGACCCGCACCCAGCTGCACGGCAAGGGTGCCAGGGACAGGCTTAGGTTGAATTCCAGCTGCATCACTGTGACCTTGAGGAAATCCCCCAAATGCTCTGAGCCTCCAGCTCCTCTTCTGCTGGTTGAGGATGGAGGCGGGGAGTACATGAGACCACTCCCGGGGAAACCCCGATAAAGTACATGGCATGTGGTACCAAGGCCCCAACAGTGGTTTGCTCCGATTATCGGCTTCAGCAAAGCCAGCAGCACGTGGCCCCGAAGAGCAGCCGGGAAGTTAGAAAAAGAGGACTTGCTGCTAAACTCCACGCAGTCCCTCAAACACTCGAAGCACTCCTGCCTCAGGGCCTTTGCACATGCTGTTTCCTCTGCCTGGAATCCTCTTCCCTCAGACACGCCCATGATTTACTCTAAGAAGCCTTCCCTGAGCACCCTATTAAAAAAAACACCCCCTAACATAGGGATATACCCTATCTCCCTTCCCTGCCTTATTTCTCCGTAGCACCTCTCACCATCCGACGCGCTGTCTGTGGCATGTTTGATTACTGCCTGTCTTCTGCCACAAGACCGTCAGTGAGTGACACGAGTGAGGGAGTCTAGGTTTTGCATGGTGCCGAATTCCCCACGCGAGTGCCCGGCACATAGTAGGTCCTCAGGAAACGCGTAGAGACTGCATGAATATGGAGACTGCGATGGTGCAGATGATGCGAGCCGCGCTCTGGCTAGGACTGGGCTTCCATGCTCTAAACTCTTACCGAGGGGCCTGGCCTCCCAGACGACAGGTGTGCCAGCACGTGGAAGGGGCGGGTTAAGGCGGAACTGGAAACCAGAGGTTTCCATGCTCCCACACGAGCATGCAGAACTGGAAACCAGGGGTCCTCCCACACGAGCATGCACGGTGCACTGAAAACAGGGGCTTTGGAATCAGGCCAAGCTGCGTGTGAGTGTGGACAGCGAGGGCCTCGGTGATCTCGTCTGTACAATAGGACGGCCGGCCGAGACGACCTCCCCGCTCCAACACACACAGTTCTGTGGGTTTCATCCTTGCTGGGCTGCCCCCCTTTTCCCCTGCCCCCCACATCCTTCAGCTTTGGCTCTGCTCCTCACCACCCCCCACCCCTGCCCCTCAGGAAACTGGCCGACTGTGCCCAGCTGCTGGAGGTGGATGACATGGTGCGGCTGGCGGTGCCCGACTCCAAGTGCGTCTACACCTACATCCAGGAGCTGTATCGCAGCCTGGTGCAGAAGGGACTGGTGAAGACCAAGAAGAAATGAGGAGGCGACCGGCGCTGCAGGCGGAGAGGGGCAGGACGCCCGGCTGACCGGCCACGGCCCCCCGAGGCCGCCGGAGCTGGGGCTCAAGCGAGGGCAGGTGGCACCAGTCTTAAACGCATTAAAGGTACTTTTGTAAAATCCTGTCTGGCCCTTCAGTGCACCCTACACCCCCTGCCCAGGAACCTCGCTCACTCTGGGGTAATGAAGCCCAGCCGCCGGGCTTCCTCACCGGACACGACTTCTCAACAACCACAACACTGTTCGGGAAAGTACGAGGGCCTGGGTCCCACCACTAAGCAGCTGTGTGACCTCGGACCAGTGAGTTAACCTCTCTGAGCCTCAGTTTACCATCTGAACAGTCACACCTCGTGGACCTGTTGGGAGGGTTAAACGAGACGATAAAATGAACGGAAAGCTTTGCCCGGTGCCTGTCACATCAAGTGTTCGATAAGTGAGGCCGAAAGTAAATGCATTCGTATGTTTTGAGCCATCGGTGGTGTTTTTCCCGATTCTCTTCCCTCTTTCCACACTTCTCCCAAATTAGGGAATTCCAGAACAGGTGCTAGAAGATTCTCTGGAAACCTCAAACTAGGTTAGTGGGGCCTGGGGCGATTCCCTCAACTCAAAGATACCCTACATTTGTGTCTAAAGTGGTGGTTTTCCCACAGCCTAGAACCACTGGCCCCTGAAAGTCCTTCCTCCGGGTTAAGTTAATCCCTTCGGCTTGGGCTGAAGTTTTGGCTTGGCTTTGTTTTTTCTATTGCTCATTAGAGATGCACCCCCTGAGCTGCTTATAATTTCCTGCTGACAATCCTGTCTGGCTCTATCAGTCTTTTGGAGCTTTGTGTGTGGATGAGAACAGCTCGTGAAAAACACAAACGAAATCCAGCCGGTTTGGCACTGCGGCAGGAGGTGTGGACTCTGCCCTGATTGGCAGAGCAGACCCGGGAACCCACTGAAGCACTCTGGGCCTCAGTTGCCTCATCTGTAAAGTGGGGGCATATTAACAGCCTAGTCCCTCATGGCCAGCTTTGCCCACAGTGTTTGGGGTTACTCGAAGCCCAGAGAGCCACCAGTTCTGGGGAACAGGGCCACACCTTTGTGTAGATGGAGCTAACCCCCCACCTCACCTTCTCCTGAGGAAACCACACCATCCTCTCAATAAACACTCAGCCGGTCTCCAAATTCATCTGTGACTTTAATGGCCGGACAAACAGATGGTCTCTGTGGTCATCCCGGACTGGAAGCTGGAGGGCTTCCTCCCAGGCTGAAGCCTGGCCCCCAGAAACTGGTAACCTAATGGGATTGCATGTGGGGCGCCTGAGTGGCTCAGTCGGCTGAGCATCCGACTTTGGTTCAGGTCGTGATCTTGCAGTTCGTGAGTTCAAGCCCTGCATCGGGCTCTCTGCTGTCCGTGCAGAGCCCGCTGCAGATCCTCTGTCCCTCTCTCTCTCTCTGCACCTCCTCCATTCTCTCTCTCACCCTCTCTCTGTCTCAAATTTAAAAAATTTTAAAAACACAAACCATATAGTCAGGGACGCCTGAGGGACGCCTGGGCGGCTCAGTCAGTTAAGTGCCTGACTTCGGGCCAGCTCACGATGTCACAGTTTGTGAGTTCAAAGCCCCACTTCGGGCTCTCTGCTGTCAGCACAGAGCCTCAGATCTCTGTCACCTTCTCCCTCTGCCCCTCCCTGCCTCTCAAAAGTAAACATTAAAAAATATCACACTATAAAAAAACCACATAGTCAGATTTCTGGATAGAGATTAGATTCTTCACTTCATGATTCATCAGGGGAAAAGGAAAGGTTTCGCGCATAAATCTAGACATGAAGTACCTATTAGCAGTCTGGCTGACTTCAAATAATAAACAAATCACTCAAGTGTAAATATGATTCTCTCCAAGTGCCCTGCCCCCCCTCCATACTCCTCACATCCCCTCTGCCCCTCTGCCTGGGCCCTAGGGGGATGCGAGGCGGCTCCTAGGTTCATTTCCTGCCAGCTGGCCTGAAGGCAACCTGTGTCTGTGAGAGCACGGAGCCCTGGAGAGCTGGCCTGTAATTGCACAAACGTGAACTCGTCTGCCTCTGGGGCAGAGAAAGAGCAGGAAAAGCACACTGTGGCCAGGTGAACGTGGGAATGGGTCCATGCCACACACACACACACACACACACACACATGCTCACACACACACACACAGGCTAATGACTAGCTACTTAAGAAGGAAAACATGCAACAAATGACAGGAGGCTCCAGCCGCACCCCCCCCGGCCCCCCACAGCTTCCATGAAATGTCCGCCCGTCACACAGAGAGGATCCAGCAAAGAGAGGGGTCAGAACCAGTTAGGAGGGCCGGTCGACTCCATACTTGAGGGTGAACTCCCTGGCCTCCCTGTGGAACAGCTCCGGATCTTGCTTCAGTAGGTCTGCGAGCTCCAACCGGACCGGCTGCCCCAGGTCTGGTCTGTTCACCAGCACGTTGAGGGCCTCCAAGACTGGGGAGAGAAGCCAGGTCAGGACATCAGGACGGAGAGAAAAATCCTGGGAAGGAGGCGATGGCAGCCCCCTCCCAGATCCCCTTGGCACCTCCACGCTCAGTCTGTGGGGGACCCCAAGGAGGTCGATTTCTTAGGATGATGACATTACAACCAAGTTAAAAGCCCCTCATTCCTCACTGACGGTGCCCAAAGCCCTGTCTGGCTATGTCAGTGCTTTTCAAACCATGTTCCATGGCTTCATAGAAACGTCTCATCGTGGGGGTCAATGAGATAAATGGGGTTTCTGTTTCCAACAAGAGCCGCCCTGTTTTTCTGTTTGATATTAAGATTCCAAATAGCCCTAAGTCGGGCTCCACGCTGACAGTATGTCGCCCGCTTGGGATTCTCTCTCTCCCTCTCTCTCTGCCTCTCCTCTGCTTGCTCTCTTTCTCTCTCAAAATAAATGAAATAAAAAAAAATTTTTTTTAAAAGGATTCCAGGGGCGCCTGGGTGGCGCAGTCGGCTAAGCGTCCGACTTCAGCCAGGTCACGATCTCGCGGTCCGTGAGTTCGAGCCCCGCGTCGGGCTCTGGGCTGATGGCTCGGAGCCTGGAGCCTGTTTCCGATTCTGTGTCTCCCTCTCTCTCTGCCCCTCCCCCGTTCATGCTCTGTCTCTCTCTGTCCCAAAAATAAATAAAAAACGTTGAAAAAAAA